AGCCGCAGCCATGCATGCATGGCCAGTCTGCGCATGTCATAGCCACAGCAGACTCATTCTGATCCATGACCTCCTCTATAAACTTTACATGCTCGTGCACCTCGAGCCACGCTGCCCCCTTCTTTGGTCACGCCTGGCAATCGGAGTGTTTGCCAGTATGATGGAAGAGAGCGAAATTGCTGCTCAGCGGCGCATAAGAGCGGAGAACTCGGCTCATGGGATCCCCGAGTAGTTGCCTGACAATTAGTGGTTCAGCGTTGCAAGAACGAACGGAAGAAGGCTAAACGTGCTGCGGCGACACCGGAGCTAAGGGAGCAACGTCCAAGCAAAGTGGCGCCGCCAGGAGGCTGAGTGACTCGCCCGACCATCTCAGCAGCAGCAGCAACAAGACGCCGTCGATGACGTCAAGGCTCGCCGATTGACTGTCTACGCGGTGGCACTTAGCGAAAGCGTCAGGGTGACTCGTATACCTTCGAGGCGGAATTCGTAATTAATCCGTTTGGATATGTGTGAAAGACTGTGGCACATGAGAGACTCGACGCTGACGCGCCACGGTGGTCTAGTGGTTCAAGCACGTGGCTTCTGACCCGGAAGTCGCGGGATCGATTCCCGGCCGAGGCGGTCGCATTTCAGATGGAGGCGGAAATGCTTGGGGCCGGTGTGCCTATAGATCTGGTGCTCGTTAAACTCCCCAGGTGGTCGAAATTTCCGGAGCCCTCCACTACGGAGTCTTTCTTAATCGTATGGCGGTTTTGGGACGTTAAATTCAGTGGCGGATCCACGGGGGCTGGCGGTGAAAGCGATCGCCCCCCCCCCCCCCCCGTCTGTTAGCACTCCCCTGCCTCACTTCCGACGGTGCTTGTAGTCCTCCTACTATGACCATGGAGAAATTAGTGAAACCACTCTGAGCACACATTAAGAGTATTTCTACTATAAAGGGGTTTTTCTGCTAGTAAAAACAAGTCATGGCCACGCCCCATTTCCGCTGTTATTTCTGGTTAAACCTTAACTGTTATTAATTAAAGGCTTCGCGCCGTTAAGTATAGTGTCATGCGTGAAGCCGTCGAGTTTAGCGACGCCGTATACTTAATGCTACGTATACGTATATCCTGGTATAGCCGAGCTAAGCCACTGCGAAGTTTTTCGTTCGATGCTCGTAATGGGGCCCTCGTAAAGAGCAGAAACCTGGACACTTACAAAGAGGGTTCAGCTTAAATTGAGGACGACGCAGCGAGCAACGGAAAGAAAAATGGTAGGTGTAAACTTAAGAGACAAGAAGAGAGCAGAGTAGATTAGGGAACAAACGGGGGTTAAGGATATCATAGCTGAAATCAAGAAGAAATGGACATGGGCCGGGCATGTAGCGCGTAGACAGGATAACCGCTAGTCGTTAAGGTTAACCAACTGGATTCCCAGAGAAGGCAAGCGGGTTAGGGGAGACAGAAGGTTAAGTGGGCAGATGAGATTAAGAAGTTTGCGGGTATAAATTGGAAGCAGCAAGCACAGGACCGGGTTAACTGGCGGAACATGGGAGAGGCCTTTGTCCTGCAGTGGACGTAGTCAGGCTGATGATGATGATGAATGGGGCCCTCGCTCGTTTCAATCTTTCCTTCGCTACGCTCCGTTCGTGGACTCATCTGTCCTGTAGACCTTACGAACTATATAGCACACGCAGGCAGAGACAGGGAAAAAAAAGCGAACGATAGCGCTCACAAAGCCAAACACCGACAATAACTAAGTATGCGATAATGATGATTTTACACTTTGCCTGCTGCATTCCAGTGTGCAAATAATCTATATCCTGTTTAGAAAGCATCACGGTGGGAGCGCTCGCGCAATTATTTCCGTCACGATCAAATCAGTAAGGTTCTGTAAGTTCAAGTGTATACGCTTATCCTTCTCGTTCTTAATGGTGCATTCAGACGACGGACCAAATCCGGATGTGGCGGGACGGACGGCGCGTCACGTGACCTCACATCAACGATTCCCCTCGTCCGCGACTCGTCCGCGCGGCTCGCGGACGGATGAACCCAACCTGTTTCTCACATCGGGATTCTGGCGGGAGAAAGCCGATACTTCAGCGGAATAGCTCGGGGTTTCTGGCAACCAGTACACTTTTCGTCTGCTCGCGGCATGTCCTCCATGGCTCGCGGATAGCTGCATGACTGGTCGGCATCATCTACGCTTGAGCATCGTTTACTTAGCTTCCGGGGCCTTTGTTCTCAGATGATTAAATACGAAGAAATCACTTTTAGTGGTTCGGGGAATGTCGCCGCCGTCGTTTGACGCGCGAGATTCTTAGACGTCATGAGGGTGAAATGTTCTAACTTCTGCAACCGGCGACGTGCCGCTTCTAAAAAAAAAAAAGGATGGGAGACGCGTGGGTAACAATGTAGTTGAAAGAACATTCTGCCAGCAACTCCCTTTTCTCTTGAAAGAATAACACTCCTCGTTCATTTGTCACAACGCGACAGACATCACAGTCAAGCGTCGCTTCTTGCGGGCATTTATGTTGGATACGCTCAAACCGGTCTGCTTTCAGCGCGCGCAGGTGAGCACCGAACCTGCTGTCGAGGGTAATCCGGCTGTTTTCTCCTAGGACGCCGTCCGTCATGTGGATGCGCCTGCAGGCGGATCATCCGCGGATTACCCATCCGCGTCCATGACAAATCCGGATTCGGTCCGTCGTCTGAATGCACCATTATGGTGCATTCAGATGACGGACCGAATTCGGTCCGTCGGACGGAATCCGACGGACCGAATCCGAAGAGCCGGTACTTCAGCGGAATAGCTTGGGGTCGGTGGCAACCTGTACATTTTTCGTCTGCTCGCGGCATGTCCTTCATGGCTCGCGGACAGCTGCATGACCAGTCGGCATTATCTACGCTCGAGCATGGTTTACTTAGTTTTCGGGGTGCTCTGTTCTCAGGTGAATAAATACGCGGAAGTTATTTTTGGTGGTTAGGAAAATGTCGCCGCCGTCGTTTGACAAGTGAGTTTCTGAGCCGCCATGGTGGCGAAATATTTTAAATTCTGTACAGGCGACGTGCCACTTGTAAAAAAAGGACGGGAGACGCGTTCAAAGTGCCGCACGTGTGTGACCAGTGTGGTTGTAAGAACATTTTCAGGGAATAGGCTCACATCTGCCATCATCAAACGCCAGCAGGCGCTCACGTACAATAGCACTATTGTTCTGTGCTTTCCCCGTGGTGGGGAAATATTTTAACTTGTGCTACCACCAGCATACCTCTTGTAAAAAAGGACGGGAGACGCGTTAACAAAAGCCACACGTGGGTGAACAATGTTACTGTAAGAACATTTTCAGGGAATAGGCTGTCCCATGAGCAATCGTCAAATACCAGCAGGCGCTTACGTACAAATAGTCCTCTAGTTCTGTGATTTCGGGCCGGTGGTACGTGCAGTGGTGGTCAGGCTAGGCTTCTACGCAAACCGTCCTAGTTTATTCTTTCACTCATCCGGTTGACATCAACCAAACCGGTCACAACTGACCAGCCAAATACGAGAAGGCGCATTTTGACAAAGATAGGTACGTCGGCCAGCGTGTGTCATCTCTAAGTTATACCCCGCAATGAATTTGTGTGATGATGCCACCTTCTATTTCATACACATCGTGGAAGAGTTTCCCACTTTGTGGGACCTCAGCCGCGCAGACTATGCGGACGTTGTCAAAAAACAGTCTGTTTGGGAGCACATTGTTGAAGACATCAAGAAGAATTGGCCAACTTATGGGCCCTACACCGTCGGTAAGTACATTTGTGTATTCTAGGGCCTGTAAAGGCTACGCAATATTGAGGTAACCTAAAACAACATGCGTATTATTCCATGTATGTCGTTATAATTAATGCAGGGGTCTTATTTTAAAATGGTGCATCTGCTGACACGTAAGCTGTTCTTGCCACCCCTCACTCAGTCAATTTAATAGCGTTACGACCGTAATAGTGTGAGTGGACCGTGTCTCTGACCACTAACGAAGCATGAAAAGTAGAAAAAGGCAGCATTGATAAAAAAATCACTATAAAGTATAGGTCCAGGCTGCCAGAAGCGATTCGGTCACAGTAGTGACAACATTGTATGGTTCCGCGCTAGTGTTAATGATTTCCCTATTTTTTTTTTCGCAGAAGGGCTGAAAAGGTACTTCGACAATAAGCGAAGAACGTACCGCTTGGAAAGAAAAAAAGCGGACCACACAAAAAGTGCCCAACCCGCCAGCGACGTGTACATAGGCCGCTGGAAATTTTACAAGGCGCTGAAGTTCCTGGATGGCGCGAAAATTAAACCACGCCGTTCAATAATGGGCCAGGATCAGCAAAATATTGCTGAAACAGAAATGGTATGTTTGAGGTGACAACCCGTTACCACTCTCTTCAAATTTTAGCTTAAGCTGCACCTTGTCCCCTTCAGCTAGGTTAAATGTGTTCAACATTGACTGGACGTTTTTCTGGACACATTCGGGTGCATGCAAACATCAGGTGTCAACAGAGCGCATTTGGTCCTACTAAGCGTTAGTGTAATTACAGTAAAACAGTGTTGTTCGTTTTTCGCTGTAAATACGCTTTGCTTAATCATTGCTGTGACTGGTGTGTGTTGTGACGCAGCCTCTTGTGTTCTCTGAAGCTACTGAGGCACCGGAACCAGCCGCAGTGGATGAGGATGCCACAGTTGACGAGATTGTTGCAGTGGACAAAGAAAACTGCACTATAGAGTGTGTCCCTGTTGCTATCCTCTCCACACCAAGTACTCCCAACACTGTCCAAGCTGCAAGCAAAAAACGACCAAGAAAGAACCAATCCTTGCCGCCAGAAGAAATGTGGACAGAGCGGCAAAAAGTGCTGGAAAAGATAGCTGTAAATATGCAGCCAATGCAACCTCTGCAGCCTGACGATGCGTGTGATCACTTCGGGAGGCTTGTCGCTGCAAGTATGCGCGCATTCCCAAAGAAAAGGCATCTTTCATGCCAAGCGGAAATACTGAGACTTATGGATAGTTACATGGATCTTTAATAATATACGTTTGCAAATAAATGTACACTTTATTTCAATGCTGGCACTTGTGTTTACTGCCGGGGTCTCCTGTAGATGTTCACATCCAAGTGGGCAGACTGCCGCTGCCATGGTACGGCACCCTTGTCGTTAAAGAAACAGCACAGCTTATCACGCAATGCCGCACCAACAGCACCAATTCTACCACGCGATGCTGCTGGCCCGGATAGCATTGACACTGCTGGGCTTGTTTCGGCACATGAGTCTGGCGCACTGCTCATATCACTGCCAAGGAAATTGTGCAGCACACATGCCGCATTCACGATGGCAGTCACCCTCTCTGGCGATGCATTAATAACTGTGTGAAAACACCGGAAGCGGTTCGCCAATATGCCGAAAGCATTTTCAACTACACGGCGGGCCCTGGACAACCTGAAAAAAAAGTAAATGTTAGACCACATCGAAAATTGCACGGCAGGGAAAACATTATGAGGATGCTAATAAACTGCCTTACTAAGGATTGCAGAAATTAAAGTTTCACTGAATATTTGGAGTCCCAATTCATAGTATAAGTTGCTGACATCATAAGTGCACATGCAATCAAGTCAGACGTGGGAGTTGCCATAATTATTCCAACACATAACATGAACACTACGAGCTATGAAACTTTTGATATATTAGTAGCTCTGAAAATGCACTGTGACAATTCAAGCTTTCACGTGATATGTGCTGTATCATGTGCAATATGCTTTACCTGTAATTAAATATCTTCTTTTCTTCTGTTAGATTTGTGCCCCCGTAAGGTTTCAATAAATTTTGTCCGATGGGGAATGCGTCGTCCGCTATGAACACAGGTGGAACGTGCACATCCGGTGAACTAGCCACCTTTACAAGTTCTGGCAGGCCTGCTTTTTTGTTGTCTATGTCTTTCTGCAGGAGTGTCGTTTGCCAGACACCTGTATCTCCTTCCGATCCTGGTGCACCAATATCAGTATACAAAAACTTGTAATCGGCATCAACGACGGCTAGAAGAATAACGCTGAAACTTTTTTTGTAGTTGCGGTAAATTGTTCCCAATTTCGGCGGCTTCTTTATGAGCACGTGTTTGCCATCAATTGCTCCAATGCAGTTCGGGAAATTCCATTTCTGACTGAAGCCTTCCATTACATTTTTCCACTCTTCTTCGGTGCCGGGTGTTCTTATAAGGTCTCCTCCTAGCTCTTCGTAGATGGCACGGCACGTTTCATAAATAATGTCATTCACGCTAGAATGGCCCAGTCTAAACTGACAGCTGAGCGAATGCTGGCTCTCTCCTGCAACGAAAAATAAAAGCAACTTTCATAGTCAATTATTTGCACCAGACGACAAAATGTACGAAGTGTACAAATACATACGATATCCAGTTGTTATATAGCGACAGTTTAGTAGAATATTCGCTAGAAACATTTACGCTGAATGTTACAGTTACATGTACACAGTTGAATATCATTTTGAGCGTGTTCATATATAGAAATTGGGTGCCGCAACGCGGTCACATGCAACTGGTCTACACTGGTCTTGCTTCTTTCGCATGCACAAAAGTTTCCACAAAAACATGCAATCGTGTGACACCTACCTGAAGCGAGGTACCGCAGCGTGACTTGCAGCCGTGTTTCTGCCGATATAGATTGGCGCATCACTGTATCCTTCTTTTGTATGCGAGTTTCCACGCGTGACAGCAGTTGCAGAAACTGCTCTCTGCTGACACGAAGCAGCCTCCGGTATTCTTCGTGGTCAGTTTTGAGGAGCTCTTTGTACAAAAGATTTTGGACGCCTAATTCCTTCCTTCCCACCCAGTCCTTCTGCCAGCAACTCCGTTTTCTCCGGAAGGAATAACAGTCCTCGTCAATTTCACACAACGCGACAGCCATTGCAGCCAAGCGTCGCTTCCTGTCGGCGTCCATGTTGTCGAATACTCTCAAACCGGTCTGCTGCAATCGGGCGTAGGTAAGCGCCGAATCTGCTGTCGAGGGTTGTCCGGCTGTTTTCTCCTAGGACACTGTCCGTCGTGTGGATGCGCCTGCCGGCAGATCATCCGCGGATTAGCCGTCCGCGACCACGACAAATCCGGATTCGGTCCGTCGTCTGAATGCACCATAATCACCGAACGCCGCTCGAAAAATGGTTCACAGGCTCGGCTTCTATAATGCACAGGCAAGTGTAGCCGGTAGAGACACCAAAGAGTAATAGCTGAGCGGCCCCAGCGGAGCGCAAGACAAAAGGAAGAATATAGCCGAGCGAATGATCCGCTTGTTTCGGCGGAGACGGCGAAGTAAATCGAAGCGCAGTGCTGTGCCACCTGTTGAACACGGCTGAAGCTACTGCCGATCGAGCAGAGGCTGCCCCTGGATACAGTGGCTAGAATACTATTCTAGCCACTGTACCCTGGAGAACGCTCGCACGCTGGTCCGCTGCGCACACTCCGCTGAGGGGACGAAGTGAGCGAGCGAGCGGCTGAGGGGTCGAAGTGAGCGAGCGGACGAAGTGAGCGAGCGAGTGGCTCGGTCGGTAAAATCGCTGGCTCGCTCAGCGTGCCGCGCACGCGCAGTTTGCGTTCCGCTCGATCGCTGGCCCGCTCAGCTGTTACTATACACCCTTTCACAGGAAGGAAAAAAAAAACACCGCCATGATGGGCTGTGCGCGGGAGTACAAAGGCTAAGGGCGCAGCGTTGCCAGTGCATTTTCGAGGGGACGCGCCAATTTGCACAGCCCAAGGAGGGCTATGGCGGCGCCCAGAGAGGCGTTCATGAAAAGGTGATTAGGCACCCGACAGTGAACCAGAAGGCGCAACGAAGCTCTTTTGGCCGCCTCAGCATTGTTGGTACTGACCACCAGGGATACTGAGAAAATGGAACGCTCGCTGAACACAGTGCCACGCTGAAGTGTCAGTGCCCCTTTTTGGCATGTCTGCAAAGAACGCTTCCTGGGCGCTTACATGATCAGCGGTGACCGCCTTGCTCACAAATAAAAAAGAGAATGATATGCACGTGCAAGTTCGGTTTTGCTGCGCCTACTCGCTAGGCTGTGTGTTCTGGCGCTACCATCAGATCTCGTTAACTGCATTGCCGGGTGCCTATCCATTGGTATGGCCAAAGTATGCGTGAGTTTGTGTATGTAAAGCAGTGCAACAAGCCTTTTCATTTTTCCTTATCGGCCAAGTGTGCGGATCACCACGCTCCGTTTCATCAGGGCACGAGCCACCATGGCATGCGCTGATGACACGGAAGATGATTTTAGAGTCGTCTTAAGCGGACGCGTGAGAGACTTTTCGAGTTTTTTCAGCGTCAGAATTGCGACGAAATCCCAACAGCAGGATATTTTTTTTTGCTGGCCCGCTACCACTGCCCACGGTGTACGTATACACTGTCGTGCACGCTAACGAGTGTAAATTCGCGAATCGCACAAGGAAGTGTTTAATTGTTTCAAACTTTTTGTAAATTAACGATCGGGCTTCACACAATGCAAATCGCGTAACGATTGCTTGGGGGTGAAGTTTCCCGAATGCTACAATGTGCTCCGCCATATTTCTGCATTGTCATCAGCCACCACAGCATCGACTAGGTGCACGTAATGACTTACAGATGTGCAGCGCGTGCCTCACTTCAGCATAAAATCACGAATAATGACACAGTGGTTGCGTCCCTATTTAGCAAAATTATGACTTATGACGCGGTGGGCGCCGGCGAGGAGGCACTTGCCACGCCTACATGTGTTGCCCACCACAATGCACCACGAGTTCGCACTCCTCACTCCCCCCCCCCCTTTTTTTCCCCCTGACAAAATCCTGCACACTACAATGAGAGTGAGCATCTGACAATTGTACCTGTAGAAGTAGCCCAAGAGTACTTACAGCGGGCTCCAGAAAGGCTCGAGCTTTCGCAGTGACCGGGCAGTGTTTCACGCATGCAGCGCAGTTACAACCGATGCGCGGCAGACCACAAAACTTTGACATTGATAAAATATTCTATTCGAATATATATGCTCGGAAACACAAAAACCTCAGTGCGGGAAACGGTTTTTTCTTCGTGGAACCTTCCCACCGGTTCAGCATGTCTTTTCGAGAAAGACGTCACAGAACGTCTGTTCGGGTTCGTAAGGTTCTCTCCCGCAGTGTTTTCTTACGTCTTCCAGGTGGACGTTAAACAGCATCCACGCCACCCGGGAGCGAAGGCGGATGGTGCCGTTTTGGCTGGCGAGTTGGTACTGCAAGACAGGCATGCACATTCGGTGAGAAGCTTTGCACGTGATTTGAGTGAAGCTTGTAACCACGAAGTTTCATGACTGTACACGAAAATGAAATCTGGCGCTGCAGTCTGTATCGCAGCTACAACGACTGGAGCTTTAGTCTGCCCGTGAAATAACGGTTTATTTTCCACTTCACCACATGTCCCACTTCACCACATATCCCACTTCACCACATGGGTCCTGTTAGGCAAAACGACACAGTGGGACACCTGTGGCAAAACCAGGGGTGTGCCGGCACGTGTTGTGCGGATAGCGCGTGCATAGGCCCTTAGAACCAAGGAGCATTAAAGAAAAATTGCTGGAGTAGAAGCTCCCGCAACGCCTTGCCAGCAGAAGTGAAGCCCCCTGTTACTACTGTCAAGATGGCGGAAACATGCTATTTTCTGATAGCGCCTACTTGAAGATCAAATGGCTTTAATATGTTATGTGAATGCTGCGTTAGTTCTATATTAAAAGATAGTTGTTCCCGACGAAACAACACACAGAACCGAGTATAGATGACTGAATCTTCAAAGAACTTTGCCTCCAATTAGAGGCTCACTAACTAGTAACTGTAAAACGCACCTGGAGCACTATGTGACCCGAAAAAGCTCCCACAATAAACTCGTTGGGCGTGCGAGGGAAACGCTTCGTTTTTAATCGCTGAATGGCGATACTTCATCATGCCCCTAATTTTATGGCCGCCACAGTCGCCATCTTGCCAGAGAAACGGCTTGACTTCTGCGCAATCATTTCCACCCCTGCAGTTTTTAAAAATCCTCCTTGGGCATACCCAACCGACACCTATAAATATTAACCGGTTCACTGTGACCCTGCTGAGCATGTATGTACGCGATTTCCGCAACCAATAAAGAAGACAACGCAATAACAAAAACAAAGGTGGAGAGGAAAGACATCTAATAAAAAGAAAAAAAAAATTCGGCAGATCCCACGTACCTGGGAATCGACGTTATGCGAAGCATGCGGAGGGAAGGTGACCGTGTTGCAAGTTATTTATTGAGTGACACGTAATGAAATGATGGTAAATATATGTACAAATGTTGCAGACACAGACATGTGTTGAAGAGTTGCAGATGTGTATATAACCAGTTGTTTGCAGGTGCGCAACAATGTCAACAGGAACGTGCGCTTTAGCAACAGCCGAAGCTGATAAGAAGCGCTGATGCTCGCCAGTATGCTGGCCCTGGACACTGCTACATCAATCAACTTCAGCGAATGGCAACTAACCACAATTGACGTTAACTAAACTTTACAGTTGTATCAAAGGAGTACATATGTAGTGTTTATGAAATTGGATAGGCAGCACTGCAACCACTATTGATGTTTCGCGAAGATTAATGCCTATTTGATAAGTAGTTCCAAGACCTGGCGTAGCTCTGGGGTAAAATGCTTCATTGCCACGCAGAATGCTTGGGTTAGATTCCGGCTGGGACCCTGAAATTTATTATTTGAATTCGTCGGGTTGACGCAACCGAATTCGGGTATTTCTTAATGTTCGCGCGTTGAAATTGTCCATGTGTGTCTTGGTCGTTCCTAGGTAGATACGAAGTGTCAATCACCTGTGGCGCATACTGGCATACCAGCAACATATACCCGCCCGTGGGTATGTGGCACTGTCTCGCGGGGAGTGTTTGACGATGTACGCGACGGGATTGTGACATAATTCATGTTTTGACCAGCGCGTCATATTCGTCAAACCATCTTACCCTGCCATGCTCATTTTGGTTCACGCCAAGTTAAGGGGGTGATCACGAGAGCAACCAAACGTAAGCGGCTAGAAAGATAGATGGATAGATAGATGGATAGGTAGGTAGATAGATAGATAGATAGATAGATAATTGATTTGATATGTGGGTTTCAATGGCCGCGTGGCGAAATGCACCCGTAGCATGAGGCGCACGACTGATCACGTTGCCTACACAGTGCGTGGATTAGTGACGTTGTCACTCGCCGTTGTCAGTGCATCTAGCGCGCGTTCTCTCGTGCTTGCTTCGTTGTCGGCGAGCTGTGCAGCCCATGTGCTTTCCCAGCCGGAGAAAGAGTCGCGCCTTCTGTTTTACATTCGGATGTAAACAAGAGAGGAGAATTTGCCCAGTCAATATGGCGGACTTCCGGCTTCACCACAGCTTCACAACGAGTGACGTCGGGGCCTCTCCTCAGTTGTTTCCTTCCTTCACGCTTTAGGGACAACGAGAGTTGGCCCGCAGCGCCACGAACTAGCGGCTGAGAAAGGCGGGAATCAAACACCAAGAGCACATGGCAAGACTGGGCGTCCGAGGTTGGGCGCTGTCAGGTTTTCTCGGAGGCCATGGTATTGCGTATTGTGGCAGTGCACTACTGTACTGACCTTATATGCGGCGCTGGTCTTGAATTCTGAGAAGAACACTCTCGTCCTGACGCTAGTATTCACGAATGCACCGAACCCGTATATATGAGGGCCCACAAATTGGTCGTCACTGACCTCGGTGTTCTGCCCGCAGATCTGGAATGAAGCGGCGCCATTAGTGAGTCGACCTGTAGCACGGAAACACGCACCGGCCAACCCTTGGCGCTCGCGCTCATACGCGTGCGCACACCTCAAAATGGTAGTGCAAAAAAAAAAAAAACAACGAGCGCTAGAAGGGTGTTTATTTGCAGTAGA